TACTGATCCCCAAAACTGCACACCAGCCTTATTTCTGCCAGGCTCATAACTGTTAAGGGCACAAAAGAGCTGAGTGTGGCACAGCATACAGGCTCAACTTACGGTGTGGTAGTAGTGCACCTTCCTAGAGCACCAACGCATGTAAGCAAATGATGAGACTGTGGTCCAATTTTGCTTTCATTGGAGATAAGTTTGGAGTTATTTCACTGACGTGGTTCTTTTCCAGAATTGCACCAATGCAAAAGAGGGCAGCATCTGCTTTCTGAAAATGGATGCCATCAATCTAATTGAAAACAACAGATGCATCAACAAGCAGCAAAGAGGAGACACTAAATGTTCCACTTTTTTTTTTTTTTTTTGGTCAAAGAACATTTCATTTCTCTCCAGAGAATGCAAGAGGATAAAACAACATGTGCTTGAAAAATTAAATCTTACGTTGGTGTAAAATCATATACAACTTTTTAGGTAAATGAACCTACAACACCTAAAGACGGGGCTACAATCCCAGTGAAATACCTTAGGATTTATTACATTTTATTTACATATATAAAGTTATTTACTTTTCGACAAATGGTCTTCCAAAACTTTACAATAAATATTTTTATATCCATTTAGTGAAAGTGAATCCAAACACAGATTTACTGAACTTCCAGTGATATTTTGTATGAAGGCAAGGTTTCTCACAAGTCTTGCCTCTGAGGCAACACAGCTTCAGTATTTTAGAGTGACCACAAAAGTTGATGAGCACTTTCCATAAAATTTCCCTCCTGCAAATCTTTTCCCTTCCTTCATTAAGGAAAAGTTGGACACTGGTGATTTCAACCTGTAAATGTGCAGTACAGACAGCATGGATATTTCCTACAGAGAATGTTTATCAGTAAAGTAAAACTCACACTGGTCCCAGTTATGAGTAAAGTACAAAACCATGCCATAATATTCAAGTTCTTGTGCAATCCAACAAACCCTGAGCAGACTTCCCTGGAGCAAGCAAAAACTCAACTAGTTAAGCAAAGCATACAGAACTGACATGTGTACTAACAATATAAGCCACACAGGAAAACCAATTTTACTGTGGTCCCTTGCCTACCTTCCCAACCCCCCCCGAACATTCTCCTGGGTTTGCCTCCCTGACCAGAGTCTTGCCTTACTTAGGACCTAATATCCATATCATTGAACTCCTGACTATAATTAACGAGCAGTTTCATTACCAACTATTCCTTAGGCAACTAAGGACATACAGCTTTCACTGGCAATTTTTCATTTTATCAGAGGATTAAGGTTTCTGATCCTGTAGACACCTGCTCTTCTTAACTTTACATGTAAAGCAGATGGCAGCAAATTGGGAATTGCACTGTAAGCATGCTGATAATATGGCCACAGACATACACAGAACGTGATTTGTCTGGAGTGTAACCTCCAAAAAGCAGAGATGAAGAGATCAGATCTCAGTTACTACAATGTAAATAGAGCTATCTTGTGCTTACATGTTTGCAGCTGAGTGCAGAATCTCATTTAGTCTTTAACTTGCCCATGGCCTGCACACTTCCACCACCGCATTTAGAAATGCTTCTGCTTTTGTTTTTGCCAATATAAACGTAAAGAGAAGCCTAACTTTTCTGAGCTCAGTAGACTTACTTGGACTCATATCAGATGACAGTTTTCGGGAAAGCTGAGGTTAACTCCTGCTGTAATCTGCATTCCCCGATGTAAAGAGTACCTCAAGAGAAGAAAAAATGAAGGTAAGCACTTTAACAGATAGTACATATGTTTTGACTGTACGCAGAAGATTCAGCATAAATGAAGGCAGTTATGTTAAATGGAGTTTTGCTAACTTACATCAGTAGATGGTGAGGATCTGGCTCATACTATGTTTTTGTAGTTTATAGTTATTTTTCTTCTTTTCTTCACCTAGAATCAGATTCTCCATTTAGGCTGTAAATTTTAATTAGGAAATCCCTCCTCATCAATTGCAAGAAATTCAGTTGTTGATTTCACAGATGAAAAAGAAACCTCACCTACCTCTGCTACAACAGCAGAAGCTGGAGCTGTTGGTTCTTTTGCTTTTAGGGATGATCCTGTTCTTTTCATCATAGTATAAAAGATTCTTCAGCCCTTACCCTGCTTTTTTCTCCCTTGAATTTCCTTACTCATTCTTCTTTATCCCTGCAGGGATCTCTGTACATCAAATGAGTGGGCTTAGTAGAGAACACTTTGTCCTGTCACCTTCATCCTTCCAGCTGCTGTAGCAATGACTTTTATCCACAAAAGCTGGATCAGAATGAACAGGGCCGAGACAGAAAATTACTCAAAAAACTCAACGTGCAATATTTTTCAAACAGGAACAGAACTTTCACCTTGTGGAAAACTTCAGGAATCCTTCAGTAATACTCTGAAATACTGCAAAACAACTTTTCATGCCTTTTAAACTTACAGTCCATTAGATGGTTGATAAGCAGTGGATAAAAAAGGCATCCACAATAAAATTCTTCTTTTCCTTCCCTCATTGATTTCTCTCCTGCTCTGATTTGGTGCAAAATATCCCATGGAAAATTTTCATTACAACTGATTGTCGCAGAATGGCCAAAGATTCAGGGAAAAAGTGGTAGTCTTGCCCATAACAAAACTTTATTTCCTAGTGAGATTGTTAAAAAAAAATGATTCTGTGTTTTTTAAAGCAACACTCCTCCTTGTATTCCTTGTAACTGAGCACTCAGAAAACTCATTGACCAGTTGACCCCCTTGTCCCTAAGCGTGTCTTTCACATACCCTTATCTCTCCATGTGCAAGGATATAAAGTCCTTCCTATCTCCTTGTTTGAACTGCCTGTTTTCAAACACTGTTAACAGTCTGTCAGTCTGGAGTTTAACAGTGCAGCTATACACAATATAACATGATGGGATCTTCACTAACCAAAGAAAATGGCTGTAAAGGTGGTGTGCTGATAACATATTCAACAGTGCTTTTGCCTGTAGCCAAAGTCACAGGGTAGAGAAACAGTTTGTGAGATTGTTATGAATCTTTGGAGATGCTACTTTGCTTCAAAAGATGTGGTCTGCCTTAAGAAGAAAATAGCTAAACAAACAGACAGATTTGTATTTCAAGCATCCAGAGGTGACTGCTAACAGCTGAAAACTTAAGTGCTCTATAAAGGCACAATGTCACTTAAGTCAATTGCAAAAATTCTGAAGGCTGCTTAATACCAGAAGAGCTATAATATTGCTGATGACTGCATGACTTGACTACCCTGGTTTGTTGGTATTTTTTTTAGGATATGCTTAAAAACAGATTTGCACACTTAAATAAAACTCCCAGGCTACACTTTCCAAGCTTGATAATTTTTTGTATTTCTCTTAGCTCTAACACAGAAAATCCAGGGAGAAAACAACACTCCTGTTTTACACATTTTCATTTGCACATTGTTTCCAGAATTGAAAAATATGGAGTGCAAAAAACTGCACATAAAGTGATCTGTTCACAGCAAAGTTCCTTTGCATGTATGTGTCTATATGCTTAGAAACCCACAGCTGAATTTCACTTGATAGCAGAAGCTCTTATTACCAGAACATCTTTACAAGACATGCTAGAGTTTATGTTACTGGTTATGTCTCACGTCTTTTTTTGTTGTTGTTGTTGTTAGAGTCTGCATGCCCAGCCACATACCACGCCAGCTGGAAGAGCAACCTCTTCTTGAGGGGTACGGCTCCTGCCTGGCAGGGGCAGAGGGGTTGGGCCAAAGGGAAGAAACCAGCACAAGGAATTTTCTGACGTAAGCAGAGCATAGCTTGTGCCTCCTCCTGAACCCGTGCTTAACCTGAGCTTTTTATATCTTACTTTGGGGAAACTTGTATCAGCTGATACACTTCTGCATAAAATAATCCCAAACATGGGCATTCTACTAGGAGACAGCAACAGCCTCGACACATCCTTCTTAAATAGCAGGTTCTTCTGCTAGCTTAGTGCACTTGCAAGGACAACATAAAACTGAAAGCCAATCCCTTACATTCAGAAGAATATTTCATTGTACTGAATCTGATACACAACTAAGAACAACAATAGCATTTTGCAAAATTAATTCAGACACCAAGACAACTTTTTACACAAAATCAACAGAGATCCCACCTTGCAGTGGGATCCAGTATTACTGACCCACAAGTTACATGCTTCAAGAGATGCAGAACGAAAGCCAAAGCCCAGAAATTCAGATAAATTCGCCTCAGTTACAATGAAACAAAAAAAGCACTAGACACAGACATCTGTGGAGGTAGCCTGGAAAGTCACTTTCTGCTCTCGTTTTTCAGGCAAGCTCCTCTCATCTACAGAGCCATCAACATACCACACCACATGTGCTCTCCCGGGCTGATCTGCAGTAACAAGTGGCTTTTTGCTGCTGACCAGTGAGAGAGAACAGAAGAATCAGTGCAATGTCTGTGCACTGACCTAAGGCAAGTTCCTTGTACATTAGAAACCTTTGAGAAGACTATGGGTCTCTGGAGAAGTGCAGCAGTTAGGACTTGCATAAACAACTTCTACCATATGATCACAACCCAGATGAGGAGAGACACAATAAAAGCACTCTAGGCATGGAGCCAAATCTCAGGACAATGGAAAATAAGCAGGGTAACAAGGATGCAAACAGATCCCATCTCACAACCCCGCCAGCTCAGACGATATTAAAGGACATGTCCTTAGAAATCTCAGCCTTATGTTTGAAAAGTATGATGTATACATATACATAAAACATATTCTATATATTTTGCACCTTACATCTGTTTTATGGACTATTCAGTGGACAAAGAATTGGTGGATGGTCACAGGGTTGTGGTCAATGGTTCTATGTCCAGGTAGTGGCCAGTGATGAGTGGTGACCCACAGGGGCCTGTCTTGGGACCAGTGTCTTTAACATCTTTCTCAGTGACACAGACAGTGGGATTGAGTGTACCTTTAGCAAGTACACCAAGCTGAGTGGTGCAGCTGATATGACATAAGGAAGGGATGCCATCCAGAGGGCCTTGGACAGGCTTGAAAATTGGGCCCACAGGAAATAATGAGATTCAACAAGGCCAGGTGCGACACTCTGCACTTGGATCAGGATAATCCCAGATATGCTGGGTATACACTGGGAGAAGAACTTGAGAGCAGCCCTGTGGAGAAGGACTTGGGGATCCTGGTGGACAAAAAGCTAGACATGAGCGAGCTATGTGTGCCTGCAATCCAGAAAGCCAACAGTATCCTGAGCTACATCAAAAGAGGGATAGCCAGCAGGGCAAAGGAGGTGACTGTACCCTTTACTCTGCCTTTGTGAGGCCTCATCTGGAGTTCTGAGTTCTGGCCTGGGACTCCCAGCACAAGAAAATTGCAGAGCTACAGAAGCAGATCTAGAGGAGGGTCATGAAGGTGATCAAGGGGCTGGAGCACATCTATCACAAAGAAAAAAATTGAGGGAGCTGGGCTTGGCAAGCTTGGAGAAGGCCATGAGCAAACCTCATTGTGGCCTGTAGGGGAGGCTAATAAGCAGAAGGGAGACTGATTTTTACACGGTCTGATAGTGACAGAACAAAAAGGAAGGACTTTCAATTAAAAGAGTGGGAAGATTTAAGTTAGAATTTAGGAAAAAATTCTTTACTCAGAGGGTAGTGAGGCACTGTTGCCCAGAGATGCTGCGGATGCTCCATTCCCGTAGGATTTCAAAGCCAGGTTGGATGGAATACTGGGCAGCCTGACCTAGTGGCTGGCAACCCTGGCCATGGCATGGGTGTTGGAATTAGATTATCTTAAAGTCCCTCCAACCTAAGGCAGTTCTATAGTTCTATGATACTATGATTCCGCCTGTCTTTGCTTTCAAACACATGCACACATATGAATGCAGAACATACAATCACATTTAAAAACAAAAACAATATATGTATTTGCATGAAAGTTTACAAATAGAATCTGAAAGTATTTGTTTTCCCTTTTCATCCACTAGCAGCATTTGAAACATTTTAAAATAGGGAATAGGCAGAGATAAATGTGATCTGTGAAGAAAAACATGCATCTTAAAATGAAATTCTCTGGTCCCTTGACAAGCCCAGCAATGCAGGCTAAGGAATGTATTTTGCATTGCTACTGTAAGTTGCACTTACAAAATCTAGTGCATGAAAAAATCATTTCTGTGCTTTCAATTTAAGAAATACCCAGAACTGTTTGAATCAATAATAAAGCAAAAATAGCATTTCAAGTTTACCTCTTTTTCCTCTCATTTTAAAGTTCTAGGGTATGCTATTGAGTTTGTGCAGAAGCTGGTGTAAAGGCCAGCCTCTAATGCCAATACCCAGGAATAATTTATGACTGTGACCCACAATATCAGTGGAATTTTGAGACAGCACAGGTAGTTGTGTTTTTTGGCAATATCAACATAATACGAGCATGCAAACTTTCCTCAGCTACAGAAACACTTCAGTAAAAACGCAGTGGAGTCAACTGTGTTCACATGCCTGAATACAGAACTGAGTACCTGAAGCATAAAGTACATATCACTAAACACTTGTGGAAATAAATTGAGGAGATAACAAATCAATTTTCTCGAAAGTGAGAAGGCACCACTACAAAGGTTAACTTGGTACTATAAAAGCCAAGTAACATCAGGACACTGGCACAAGTAAGACTTAAGATCAAAACACAGAGAATCTTCAACAAGCCTGTCAAATCATTTATGCCCACTTATAATAAATGCATATACGAAGTAGCAAAGTGCTTTTCTATTTATGCAACTTTTTAGAAACATAAAACAAGAGGGTCTTCTGCAAGACAAATGTTGCAAACAAGAAAGGCACCTGTTTGCCGACTTTTACCTACAGCTGCAAAACTCACTGTGAGGCTAGCTAAAGCATTTCCATTATTCAAAGACAAAGGCATTGCAGGCGTGACTGATCCCACCAAGCTGGCACAGGAACCAAGGATACAGCTTGAGCTGGATGTTCATAGCCCCTTTAACTACTTACTCCCTGCAAAATCCTTCAGCTGAAGTTGTTGCAAAGACTTCTTCGCTAGTGGAGTAGAAAGATTAGGCTTCTAAGCTAAAATTGGATTACAGTGATCCTAAAAAAAAACCATCCATGAGCAGGGAATGACAGCTAGCACTCCACAGAACAAAGCAAGAACATTTCTGACTGCACACAGCAACAAGAAACAGCATATCTGGAAAGAAGAGCCCATTATCACGACGACTCCGTTTACGGTATCACGATCCACAGTCTGGTATGTAAATGCTGAATAGATCCAACTGCTAGTGCGAAGACAGCTGTGCAGCAGCTTGCAGCTCTGTGCCTGGACCCAGGATAACAAAACTGATCACACTTCTGTCAGCATTTTCTTCTCTTTATAACCCTGATTACCAGGGGGAATGAAATTGGAATATTTCATGGACTCCAGGTCTTCCACTTCCAAAAATTCAGATTTGCTGAGAGACTGATTACTGTCCCCCTTCTTGGGCTCAGAGAAGGGTGACTGCTGCTGGCCACAGGTGACATGGGTGTACTGACACTGCTCTTCATTATCAGTCTCTCGATGGTAAAAGTAGTTGAAGTTGGACACAATGACAGGCACAGGCAGAGCAATGGTGAGCACACCCGCAATGGCACACAAGGAACCCACAATCTTGCCACCAATTGTCATGGGATACATGTCTCCGTAGCCCACAGTGGTCATGGATACCACTGCCCACCAAAAAGCATCAGGAATGCTGGTGAACAACGAGTCAGGGTCATCGGTCTCCGCAAAGTATACGGCACTAGAAAAGAGGATCACACCAATAAAGAGGAAGAAGATAAGGAGGCCTAGCTCCCTCATGCTGGCCTGGAGAGTCTTCCCCAAGATCTGTAGTCCTTTGGAGTGCCTGGAGAGCTTGAAGATCCTGAAGACCCTGACCAGTCGGATGACTCTGAGGATGGCCAGGGACATAGCTTGCTGCTGGCCCCCATTGTTGCTGCTACTCCCAGACTGCTGCTTCTGCTGTGGTTGCTGGGCCAGCTCTGTGCCCAGGGTGATGAAGTAGGGGATGATTGCCACAATGTCAATGATATTCATAATGTTTCGAGAGAAGTCAGGCTTGCTGGGGCAAGTGAAGAAACGCACAAGAAGCTCAAAGGAGAACCAGATGATGCACAGTGTCTCAATGAGGAAAAAAGGGTCAGTGAAGAAAGGGCCAGCACCAGCAGTGGGTTGTGGAGACTGTGGGGTCCCGCTTGGTGGTGGCGGTGGCAGCAGTATGTCATCATCAAGTACAGCCAGCTCCCCGAAGCCAGGCTGAGCAATCTTGGGCTCCTGGCGAAACTCAGGCAGGGTCTCTAGGCAAAAGATGACAATGGAAATGAGGATCACCAGCACAGAAACGATGGCAATAGCACGAGCTGGTCCAGAGCTCTCAGGATACTCAAAGAGCAGCCAGACTTGGCGCTGGAAGTGGTGCTCAGGCAGGGGCTTCTCCTCCTCCTGAATAAAACCTTCATCCTCCCGAAAGGTCTCAATGGCCTCCTGGCCCAGCTGGTAGAAACGGATCTCCTCCAGGAAGATGTCGAGGGGCACATGGACTGGCCGCCGGAGCCGCCCTCCAGACTGGTAGTAGTAAAGGATGGCATCGAAGCTAGGTCGGTTGCGATCGAAGAAGTACTCGTTGCGGAGAGGGTCGAAGTAGTGCACCCGGCGGCTCGGGTCGCCCAGCAGCGTATCGGGGAAGATGGAGAGGGTCCGCAGCTGCGTCTCGAAGCGCAGCCCAGAGATGTTGATCACTAGCCGCTCGCTGCTGCAGCAGCCGCTGCCGCCCTGCTCCTCGCTCGTCGCCTCTGCCTCGCCACCGACCACCTGCGGGGCCGCCAGCGCCAGGGGCTCCTCCGCCCGCATGCCGCCGCCCTGCCTGCACCCCCACTTCTCCTTCAGCGGGCAGCACCACCCGTCATCCGCACGCCGCCACCGAACCGCCCACCGCCCCGCCTGTTGCGCCACTCCCGCTCTGCGCCTGCCCGGCGGCTCGCCCGGCGGCCCCTCCTTCAGCCCCGGTCCTGTTCCCGGTCCTGGTGCCGGCGCCGCCGTGCTCGGCACCGTGCAGCGGTTCTGCCTTCCGCGCCGCGTGCTTGCGCACACACTCGCGCGGGAAAGAGAGCGAGACAGGCGTTTGCGAGCTTGGTTGATCCATGCCACAATTGGCATTTGAAACCGAGCAGAAACTCACAACGGTTCATTTTGTCCTTCTGAAAATTGAGCTAATATGTAAGGTTGCCTCCATCCTTCCCAGGACAGAAGTCCTTTTTTTCCCCTTGAAAGCCCTTTGTTGGTGCTAAGCATTAATAATAATTAAAAAAAAAACAAAAAAAAAAACAGGCTTTTATCATCCTTGTATCCAATGCCTTTGCTGGCTGCAAACATATGCATATAGCCTATACTATCTTAGCAGTATGGATATGGAAGCAAAATATTTCCCCCTTTACTCTTCCTATTAACTAGGTGCTAATACTCAGTTAATTCAGGCCTTGGACTTTCTGACCAGCTCACGGTGGCTGTCTTGTTTGTCTCTGTCCTCAGGAGGGAGGTGAATGTAATCTAAATGTTGCTTAATCCATTTTCCTTTCTCACTCAATAGCACTGAAGATGGCTGCTGCAAAAGGAAGCATATTTTTTCATCTGTATGAAGATGTCTGACACAGAAAGAAGCATATTTTTCTTTCATATTATACATATTGCATTGCAAGCAGATGAAAAATACGTTTCTGAAGAATATGCCTTTAAAAATATATTTACAATTATAATGGAAAAATGGTTCTTGCTGACATTCCCTTTTCAATTATTACAATAAATAATTTGTTCACATGTTTGAATTATTATTGTGATTTATTCATTCACATGGTTGACAACTAAGAAATAATTTAAAAAACAGCTTTTAGAAGGGATGGGCAAACTCCTGGGTTTTATAGGTTATAGGGTTTTATACAGGGCATGCCTATGTTGCAGTAATTGCTATGAACCTGCACGAGGTTTAAACCAGTGACCTTCAGTAGCACAGAAGACAGCGTGGAACTCCTCAACAGTTTTCAGTATGATTTGCTGGCCCACACAGACTTTTCAAACTGCCACAGCTCTGATCCTCACAGTACTAGAGCTAGCAGTGTTGCATATAGCTCTGATGCCTGCGCGTGGTATCCAGCTATGTCTTCCTGCTCTTCTTGGCTGCTGGCACAGTCCATTTTAGAGCATGCACCCAGTGTTTGCTCCTGAAAGCCCTTAGGAAGTGAAGTGATTTTGTTTCCCTGTGAGTATTTGGGTCATCCCTCATACTCAGTATCAATTTGGTAAGCTTTTGCAACGTGCAACTAAACCCTTTTTAGCTCTGTCTGTCTGTGTGGCCACGCCCCTCGCTTCTATGCTAAGAGGCTGTGCCAGCTGTCTCTGCTCAGCCTCCATGAACCATCTTGATGGGGTAGCATCTTGCAATAGTACACAACTTGCTGGAGAAGCACAGGAGGAGAGAGCCAGAGCTGCTAAAGAAGGAGACAAGATAAATTCTCCAGAAGGCAACACAGCAACATCATAACTTTTTCTGCAGAGTGATTTGGCAGCTATGTCTAGGGCCAGCACCCTAAGATTAGTGTCAGCTAAAGGTACCACTAAGCTGCTCTCTGAGCTAGTGGCGATGTTCACATTTCCAGGCCCAGCTGGGGCAGGTCACTTCGGTTCAAAAGCTAAGGATGACTACATCCTCCCTCAGGACATAGTAGTCAGTAAGCATGAGGTGCACAAAATTATCTTCATAGATCTGTGGGAGAACTTGCTGCTGGTACTAGCGCAGCAAGACACCTGGTTCTGGACCTTCATCCTAGTACAGAATCTGGAAGGGCATTGCCCCCTGGAGCCTGGCTTTGATAGGCACCCATCAATCTGTGGCATGCAGTTCAGCTTCAGCAATTCTGAGATATCTTACAGACCACTGAATGTGGTTCAGCATTTTGGATAACCACATTAATTCCTTTTAGAGCTTTTTCACTGGTTTTGAAGTGCTCAGCACCGGATCTGCCACAAAATCATGTTCATTGTTTCAAAGAAAGGATGTTTGATTCCCATTTCCCTATTTTTAATCAACAGGAAGACCAGTAACGAAATTCCAGTAAAGAGTTACTCCATTTTTTTCTAAGTATTATTGATTGTCCCAGAGTAAACCTACAGAAATTCCAGAGCAGCCGTCAGAATTATTGTGAGTCAAGATCATGGTAACTGAGGGCCATAGAGTGCTGGCAATTCCTACTCCATCTCAGGACAATACCTGTATGCAGAATTTGACTCTAGAACATAAAAAATAATGGACTTGACTCTTTCAACAGAAACAAACTTAAATAAAAAATATAACCAAGATAGCTGTTTAAAGTCTGACAGAGGGCTCTGGAAAAGGCACACCAGCTATTATTTTCAAAGGTATTAAAAGGTAGAGTTCTGATAACCTAAACACTTCTGTGTGTTGGCATTTGTGTTCTTCAAAATCACATCAGTGAATATAATGTATATAAAATCAGAGGCACAGACTAATATTGCAATAAAATATCTCATTGATTTCTTAGAAAACATACTGATGTCTCCATGGAAAGAAAAAAAAAAAAAAAAAAAAAAAAGAAAAAAGATTTTTTTCCTTCTATGCTTAGGAGAGAGATATTACACTTAGTTTCAAGTTTAGCATTTTATCCCAGATGCAAAGAACATTGCTCATGACTGAGCTTATGCATGAACTCATTAACACATTTTCAGAAGCAACTGCTGTGTTGTGTATTCTTGGTACACACAGAAAAAAAGCAGGATCAAACCTTGCAAAGTACAGTTTGTTAGGGTCACACTCTTCAAGCTGTCTGCCCTAAAACATTGAATCATTAGTCTTTTTTTTTTTTTCAAAGCCAAGATGCAAAAATCAACCCAAACTGACTGATATTAAAGGGAACATTCTGGTGAGTACAAGGTCTTATGATCAGGTTCAACAGGAGGTAAAATGTTTTACCAATAAATTTACAGTAGAAGAATGCCCCCCATTTTTGTGTAAAATAAAAGATGCATTTAGTTTGAATACTTCAAATGGAAGAATCTTTTCATTCTGGTATAGCTCTGCAAGTTACGTGACTAAGATTTTATTTTATTTTATTTATTTATTTCTGGAACTTAACTGTCTTTTCTCCCTGTGTTATGTTCAGTTAGATTTGGCACTGGAATTTTGCTGGGACTGTCTGCAAATCTCTATTTTTGAAGGGACTAGTTGGAAATAACTATTTAATGTTTCAGAAACATATTCCACCTAAGCTTCTTGACTTAAGGATTTCTTTACTTTGTCCAGATGTACAGACAGTTATTAAAACCAAATAACTGTGATATTTTTACACATATGTAGGTGTATGTGTGCATGTTTACATACACATATTTGGTGGTATGGCTGTGCTTAATTGCAGAATTATTCAGTGGTCATAAAAATACTTGTAAATAAAATGTATCCTTGTAAATAAAAATATGTATACTTGTAAATTTATTCCAATAAAGTGTTTTGGAATTATTCAGGAGGTTTTTGCACAGTGATAAAAAGTATGCATTCATTATCCTCTCTTCATTAATCAGTTTTCCATTACAGCTTTCCATTTTACAGGTTCAGACATTGAAAAACAAATTATAAGCAAAAACAGTGAAGGGTGGAAGATTTATCTTAAAACAGAAGATCAAAACCAGTGTGCAGATAAGATGACTTCACATTTGCTATTCAGTGTGAGGTTTAAAAATTTATTTCAAAGGAAATAGGTCTGGATGGCTTAAATCTAATTTGTTCTATAATATACTCACAGAAAATATCTCACTGGGCTTTAAATCCAGACTTTTGAGAAAGAGTAGTCATATTTTTGTGGTGGAGGCATACTCAGTGATACCTGTATGTTAGCTCCATTGGTATTTTCTCCAGACTTACAAGAATAACAAAAGATTTTTTCCTATAAATGATGCTGCTTTGGAACAAGTCAATCTTAGTAGTTTCCCTTTAGTACAAAAGACAAACAAGTTGAGTGGCTTTCCCAAAGACACAAAGCATGTCAGTAGCACAACAAATCCAAGCTGAAGTTATTTTTGCTATTCTCTGATCCTCTAAATAAACTCTTATCCACATGCTACAATGTGCCATCACACTGTCACATAGAGGACATGCTCTCAGCTGCCTCTTGGCATGCTTTTATGCAGCATTCAGCTAAGGGATGCCTACCTTAGGGCATACCTAAGGGGTGCTGGGATAGAGATTTGTGTCTTTGAAATAGATTTGTTTCAGAGTTTGTTCTTTATCCTCTTGAGGAACTTCAACTTGCATGGTGTATTTTAGGAAGGAAGAATGGTAAAATACAATTAAAAAATCCTAAAGCTGCAGAGACCTTTCCCATCTATTAGTGCAATCAGAGGAAAAGTGAATCAGATACTGGAAGCAAGGTCCTGCTTTCAAAGGAAATGCAGTGTTTTACCCACATGACATACTTGCCTGCAATTACACCAACTTCAGCCAGAAGAAATTAATTTGAAATAAAGAGAGCAGTTTAAGTGCAGAACATATGGAAAGCAAGATCAGGTCAAGAGGCTTTTCAAAGGACGAAGGCAACAATATGTTCTGAAACTTAGCTACCATTTCTCAACAGTCAGTTGGGAAGGAAGTGAAGCCTCTAAGACTACACACTTCAGAGAGCTTTGGAAACACAAAAGAGTGTGTGAGAATACCAAGTATACATTTGTAATTTAATTTATGTTTATTTTGGTCCAGTGCACAATGAGAAGGTTATCATGTGACTCATATTAGCCCAAGAGCTGTGCTGGGATAGTTAGTACTATGCGTTCTGGGAAGATATAAGATTGTC